TGGAGTACAAAGGGAAAAAGGGAGGGTCAATGCAGTGCCCTGTTCCGGGGTAAGAGAGAATCCGAAAATTTTCCTTCCCTTGAGCCTGCAAAATCTTGCAGACTTCGGTAGCATAATACTCACTTTTGACAACACGGTCATCTTGTCCCACAATGAAGAGTAACTGTGCCTCAGCTTTCTCTATTGGGATCAGGCTTTGGTTGCCAGGGGCTTGAAAGGGGTCATGAAGGGTGTCAGTACAATCAAGAATATTGGAATCAGTGACCTTGGCCCGTTGTTCATCAATGGTCAAAGGTTTGATGGTTTTATCCTTGTAACAGAGAGGAAGGGCTGTGATGGCCACAGGACCATTAAGGGAAGCCACAGCTGTGATGTTCTTCAGGAAGGCGGCCATGGCAAGAGACAGATCAGCTCCTTTGGAGTAACCGAGCAGTCCAACCCCTGGTCCCTTCACCTGGTAGGTAGGAGGAAATACTCATCAGTATTGAGCTGAAAAACACGACAGCTAGTTCCAACAGGGCAGCATTGTGTAATGCTGAGAGTTTGCAAATCACTGTGAAGGAGGTGAGGGCAATGATTAGTTTTTCTTCTGCACAAGGGCCAAGCACCCCTCCCTTCAAACCACTCCCTTTCATAGTGTTCCCTGGTACACTGACATCAGCCAAGACTGGCGGAACGTGATTTCCCCAATTTTGAGGACAGGCTGTAGGACACAGCTATGAGTATATATTAGTCTTAGACACTGGCAGATGCTCTTTACTTTCAAGACTGTAGGAGGATATTTGATGGCAACTCATAAGGGCTTTCTGCTCCACAACCTTCCCACTTGGTTACGTCTCAGCTGCCTTTCCTGAGATTGCTTTGTGCTCTACTGCCCTTCCAGTGTGTACCTGTTTGACCCTTCCCCTTTCCTAGAACTCACACACCCAAATTCCTGGCAGATGCCAGGTGTAGCAGGTGACTATTTCAGCAGCTTCCTCCAGAGATAACTCAGGCAAAGTGACGGGTGCTTTGGAGAAGTGCTCCCTGGAGCCCAGGGGATGTGGAGGGTGCTCCTACCTGTGGGTGCTGCAGCATATAGTTCACTGCCTCTTCAAAATATTCCAGGTGGAGTTCAGTTGGCTCCTGGGGCAGATCCTCATATTGATAATAAGCCAGAGCCAGTGTGGCAAAGCCATGATTGGCCAGCAGGCTGGCTCTCTGCTCAGAAAGACCTTGTCTGAGTCCATTTATGTCGATGATCCCTGGAAAGGAGTTTTTTCCTGGAGTAGACAAGACAAAGAGCAGTATTGCTTGAAATTACTCCTTTCAATGTTTCTCTTGTTTAGAATGTATCAAACCAGGTACACAACAGGAACTGCAGCAAAACGTCTGTTGGGGAAAGGACATGATCAGTCACTCAGCTGTGTGGTGTCAGAAGCTGAAAACCCCTGGGGTGTGTTGCAGAGAAAGAAAGGCTTAGGAGCAGAACCTCTTGGGTAAGTTGCAAACCCTCACCTGTTTAGGGAATTGGCAGTGTTTCTGCATTGTGCTTAGGGCCAGTGGGCAGAGACTGTTTCGTGAAGGTGTCTTGTCCCAGCTTCTCTTCTCCCTGTAAGCAGCCCTCTAACAACTACCACTACTAAGTGGTAGTAACAACTACCACTTCACCCGGCACCGTAAAAATCCTCAAGGGATGATAGTTAGATAGATGTAATAGTATTAAACTATAAGCCTTTGTGGTGTTTGTATTGTGGCTTTTGAATGTTTGGGATCCCTTGAAACGTGGTAAGTGGGATTCAACCAGCCAGCACTTGATCTCTTTGGGGATCATGTCTCCGACCATGACCAGTATAAAATTTTGCATAGGACACCATGGGTATCTCACCGGGTGGTCAGAAAATTGTTGTTTCAGTCTTTCCTTCTTGGCCCAGGATTCTCTTTTCCTTATCCTGTGAAGATCCTGCTCCTGTCCACCCAGTGCAAGGCAAGAGGGTGCACTGCATGTTGTATTCCTAAAGTCTGATAGGTTCTGGATCCACATGGCCCAGGGAAGCTCCACAGGGCCCAGTCCAGAGAAGGTATCCCTGGCCATGTTGGGGAGTGTGTAAGACCTGTCTTACTCCTACTCTTGGCTTCAGAAGAGCTACAGGCCTGAGTGTGCTCATGCCTCCCACTCTTCAGGGATGCACGAT